TTTTTTATTTTTTTCATAATCTGCTTTCCTTTTTTCATTATATTCATTACGTTCTTTAGTTGTTGACTTATAATTATAATATCCAATACATAATAGCCATGCAAATTCTCTTATATCTGGTTCACATCCTCTATAATATACGGTTCTTCTTAATGAATCCATATTTTCTTCTGATATTCTACCATCAGGTTCCATTAATATTCCTAATGTTTTCTTTGATAATGCATTCATTCCTTCTATATGATTTGTCAAAACTAATGAAGAGCGTTGTCTAATGAGATCAGGTCTACTCATTCTTTCCCAAGGAGAGGTAGTACCTAATAAAACAGTACGAACACGTTCCAAATTAATATGAAAAATAATAAAATTAATACCATTCTTATTGTCTTGAACAATTTTAAGTGAATCAATCTTTTTTAATTCTTCTATCAAATGGTTTGCAGTAGTTTTAGCATTTTTTCCATGAAATTCAAAATTTGGATAAATTTCTGGTATATTTTCATTTGAATTTGGTTTAAAATTATAAATTTCATTTGAGTCATAATCTTCATAAAGATAAAACGAACTTATGTTTGTTAGGCAAATAGAATATTTATAACTATCAAAATTATTTGTCATTGTTTTGCTAATTAGTATATTTAATAATCCAACTTCTTTATTAACAAATTGTATTGGTATATAATTTAAATAATAATTCCCACGTTTCTAATAAATTAATGTAATAATTTAATACATTATTAATTAACAAACTTTGCATAAAACCATTACTCCATAGATTAAACAAATATCTAATTTAATATAACAATCATAAAACGTTTCAATATCTTCAAAATCTTCTTCATTTGATTCTATACTTCCTTTTAATTCAATTGTTCCTGTTCTTGAAATCGATGGTGTTGTTTCAGTTTTAGACATTAGTTTTAATGGATTTTGAAAAGATATAGTCCTGTTCATAAATGGTAATATTATTTGTTGATTTGAAGTTTGTATTATTGAAGGATCAATTATTTCATAATTTTCTATTATCTCTTTTTCTTTAACTGTGTTGGTATCTGAATTACTAGTTTCTGATTCAATTAATTGAATTGTACGGAGTCTAGATAACTGATTTTGTTTCTTCATTTTTCTTTATATTTTAGATTCTTCAAGTTCTTTCCTTTTTTCTTTTTTTTTTATTTCTATTTTTGATATAAAAAAAACTTCATAACTTATTATTCATTCATATGCAATTCTTCACTGAAATATATAGGGAAAAATTACCTGATTATAATATTACTGGTATTGTTTTTGAACATAACGAGACTAAAGCTAAGGTTGTTAAAATACTGTCTGATGACCAAAATAAATCATTTTCTATTTCTTTTAAAACACCACCTACTAATAATAAAGGAATCCCTCATATCATCGAACATAGCACTTTATGTGGAAGTGACCATTACACTACAAAAGAGCCATTTGCTGATCTTTTAAGAGGAAGTTTACAAAATTTCTTAAATGCATTTACATTCCCTGACCACACAATGTATCCTATTGCAACAACTAATGAAGTTGATTATCAGAATTTAATGAAAGTATATCTTGATGCTGTATTCTTACCACGTGTTAGAAATGATATTTATCCATTTTACCAAGAAGGTAGAAGGTGGGAAAAGAGTGAAGATGGTGAACTTAAATTTAATGGTATTGTTTATAATGAGATGAAAGAAGAAGAAACAAACCCAGTAACTTTAGCCTCAAGAGTTATTTCTCAAAAACTTTATAATGGTACATATATATATGAGGCTGGAGGTATTCCTAAAGATATTGAAACATTAACATATGATGAGTTCTTAAAATTTTATGAAGAACATTACCACCCATCAAATTCATTAACTGTTTTATATTCACCATTATCATTGATCGATAATGAGCTTACTATTTTAAATGAATATTTCAATGGTAAAGGATTTAAAACTCCATCACATGTCACTGATAAAGATACAAATATTTCTGGTACATTTGAAACTGTTCAATACCCAATTGATTCAGAAGAAAGTGATGAAATGAAAGATGTATTTGTTTATGCTTGGAAAATTAATAACTGTGACCCTGAACTTCAGTTTGCATTAGATATTATTCAACAATTAATGGTAACAGTTGAAGGAGCTCCTTTAAATGAAAAATTGAAAGAACTTGGAATTGCAAAGAATGTTACTAGCCGATTTGAAAGTGATTTTAAAAGTCCATATTTTGCTGTTGTTGCTAAAAATGCAGACCCATCAAAATTAGATCAATTTAAACAAGTCGTTAATGAAGAGTTACAAAAAATAGTAAAAGATGGTTTTGACAAACAAAGAGCTATTGGAATATTAAACAAACAAGAATTTGATTTAAAGGAATGTACATTTGGGAGGATATCCAAAAGGATTGGTTTATGCAATGTTATGTGCTTATGCCCATACTCATGATGACCCAGATTTATTCCGTAGTCTTAGAGTAAATTGGATAATTACTAAAGTTAGAGAAGGACTAAACAATCATTATTTAGAAGATATTGTTCAAAAATGTTTTATTGAAAATAATAAACATATTATTGTACGTTGTGTCCCAACAAAAGGATTAACTGAGAAATGGGAAAAAGAAAGCCAAGAACGACATGCTGAAATGAGTAAAGATTTTGATGAAAAAACAATCAAAGAAATAGAAAATACTTGTGCTGAATTAAAACGTAAACAACAGGCAGAAGATACTCCAGAACAAATTGCTACTATTCCTCATTTAAGATTGAGTGATATTGACAAAAAAGGACGTGACTTTTCTCTTGAAGAAGTTAAAAACTCAATTAAAACATATAGAAAGGTTGATGTAACTAATGGGATTGTATATTTTAAATATTTCTTTGACTTAAGTGATTTAACACTTGAACAATTAAGAGTTGCTGATTTCTTAGCATCTACCATTAAATCATTTAATACAAAACAACACAATTATTTAACTCTTGGAGCATTGATTGATATTAACTTTGGTAAATTAACATTTAATATAGAGACTCATGTTGATTCTCATTTGGGTACTACAACTGAAGATATTAATCATGTAAAACCATATTTCTTAATTTCAGGTAAAGTATTAAATAGTTATATTACTGATGGTATAAAAATACTTGCAGAAATTTTGAATGACATTCAATTTGATATCAAGATATTACAGAAGAAGTTATCTGAATTTATTGTACGTTCTGAAGGTATTATTAAGAATTCCTCTTTTTCTCCAATGTCAACTAGAATAAAATCATATCTTTCTAAACAAGGAGTAATTGAAGAATACTTAAATGGAATTACTTCCTATTTAGAAGATGTTAAATTAAGAACTAACTTTGAAAAAGAAGGACTTTCATTCCTTCATTCTCTTGAGGAAATTTATCATACGATTTTTAGTACTAATCGTTGTACTTTGTTTTATTGTTCTGAAGAAAATATTAAAGAAGATGTTTTAAAACAATTAACTTCCCTTCAAGAATTTTTACATGGAAAAGAAATGGGAAAGGTTCAAGAATATCCAAACCCAATTGTTAAAAATGAAGCTCTTCAAGTTCCAATTAAAGTAAATTATGTTAGTAAAGGATTTAATTATGCCTCTATGGGAATAACTTTTAATGGTGCATTTAAAGCGTTAATGGAAATTATTGAAAAAGAATACTTATGGAATAAAGTTAGAGTTGAAGGTGGTGCTTATGGATGTTGGTTGTCTTATTCATATAATGGAAACGCTATTTTTGCTTCATACCGTGATCCTCATTTATATGAAACCCTTACAACATATGACAAAGTTGTAGATTATTTAGAAAACATGAAGTTTACACAAGAAGAAATTGAAAATTATCTTATTGGTATTTTTGCAGATATTGACGCTCCAATGACTGTTTCAGGATTCTTTAATTCATGTTGTAATTCATATTTGAATAATACTCTTGGAATTTCTCAAGTAATTCGTGAACAATTATTCCAAGTTACTCTTGAACGTTTAAAAGAACAATCTTCTATTATTATTAATGGATTAAAGAAGAACACTGTTTGCACTATTTCTCCACAAGAAGCAATAAAGAAACAAAGTGGAGTCTTTTCAGAGAAAGTTAATGTCTTTGAAAAAGTTTAACAAAAGAAATTTTTTGGTGATTTTTTAATTATTTTTTTAGAACTTAAAATCATAATGTCCTTTATTATCTTCTTACCACTTTTATGTTTTGCTTTTGAAGATAATTTATTATTTAAGGCTACTCAAAAAAAGCAGTTTGTTAGTCCCACAACATCAACTGTTAGTACTATCAGTAGAATAGATTACCCATTAAAAGTTTGTGCAATGATTAATTGTGCTAAACGTGAGTTATTAAATACAAATTGTGATTTTACAACAGGAAGAGGAAGGCTTGGTTGTTATAATGTTGAAGAAAATAAATGTACACCATTACCATCTAGAAAATTTTGTTTTAGGTCAATGAATAAAAATATGGCGTTTGTAAAAGTTAACAAAACAAATACTGATCCAACTGAATTTACGTTATATACCTTTAAAGATTCTTTATGCCAAATACCTGATCAATACGATAAACCATTCACTGCTCAATGTGATAAACATAACATCATTTCAGGAAAA